GAGTATGGGAATTTATGGTTTGTGATGAGAAATGGTGGATTGTAATGAGTATGGGGATTTATGGTTTTGTGATGAGAAATGGTGGATTGTAATGAGTATGGGAATTTATGGTTTGTGATGAGAAATGGGTGGATTGTAATGAGTATGGGATTTATGGTTTGTGATGAGAAATGGTGGATTGTATGAGTATGGGAATTTATGGTTTGTGATGAGAAATGGTGGATTGTAATGAGTATGGGAATTTATGGTTTGTGATGAGAAATGGTGGTTGTAATGAGTATGGGATTTATGGTTTGTGATGAGAAATGGTGGATTGTAATGAGTATGGGGATTTATGGTTTGTGATGAGAAATGGTGGATTGTTGAGTATGGGAATTATTGTTTGTGATGAGAAATGGTGGATTGTAATGAGTATGGGAATTTATTGTTTGTGATGAGAAATGGGTGGATTGTAATGAGTATGGAAATATGTTGTGAGAAATGGTGGATTGTAATGAGTATGGGAATTTATGGTTTGTGATGAGAAATGGTGGATTGTAATGAGTATGGGATTTATATGTTTGTGATGAGAAATGGTGGATTGTAATGAGTATGGGAATTTATGGTTTGTGATGAGAAATGGTGGATTGTAATGAGTATGGGATTTATGGTTTGTGATGAGAAATGGTGGATTGTAATGAGTATGGGAATTATGGTTGTGATGAGAAATGGTGGTTGTGATGAGTATGGATTTATGGTTTGTGATGAGAATGGTGGATTGTAATGAGTATGGGATTTATGGTTTGTGATGAGATGGTGGATTGTAATGAGTATGGGATTTATGTTTGTGATGAGAAATGGTGGATTGTAATGAGTATGGGAATTATGGTTTGTGATGAGAAATGGTTTGTAATGAGTATGGGAATTTATGGTTTGTGATGAGAAATGGTGATTGTAATGAGTATGGGAATTATGGTTTGTGATGAGAAATGGTGGATTGTAATGAGTATGGGAATTTATTGTTTGTGATGAGAAATGGTGGATTGTAATGAGTATGGGTTTGTGATGAGAAATGGTGGATTGTAATGAGTATGGGAATTTATGGTTTGTGATGAGAAATGGTGGATTGTAATGAGTATGGGGATTTATGGTAGTGATGAGAAATGGTGGATTGTAATGAGTATGGGAATTTATGGTTTTGATGAGAAATGGTGGATTGTAATGTCTATGGCAATTTGTAATGAGTATGGGAATTTATGGTTTGTGATGAGAAATGGTGGATTGTAATGAGTATGGGAATTTATGGTTTGTGATGAGAAATGGTGGATTGTAATGAGTATGGGAATTTATGGTTTGTGATGAGAAATGGTTGTAATGAGTATGGGAATTTATGGTTGTGATGAGAAAATGGTGGATTGTAATGAGTATGGAATTTATGGTTTGTGATGAGAAATGGTGGATTGTAATGAGTATGGGAATTTATGGTTTGTGATGAGAAATGGTGGTTGTAATGAGTATGGGAAATATGGTTTTGATGAGAAATGGTGGTTGTAATGAGTATGGGAATTTATTGTTGTGATGAGAAATGGTGGATTGTAATGAGTATGGGAATTTATGGTTTGTGATGAGAAATGGTGGATTGTAATGAGTATGGGAATTTATGGTTTGTGATGAGAATGTGGATGTAATGGTATGGGAATTTATGTTTGTGATGAGAAATGGTGGATTGTAATGAGTATGGGGATTTATGGTTTGTGATGAGAAATGGTGGATTGTAATGAGTATGGATGGTTTGTGATGAAATGGTTTTGTAATGAGTATGGGTTTGTGATGAGAGATGTAATGAGTATGGGGATTTATGGTTTGTGATGAGAAATGGTGGATTGTAATGAGTATGGGAATTTATGGTTTGTGATGAGAAATGGTGGATTGATGTATGGAAATGGTTTGGATGAGAAAGGGTGGATTGTAATGAGTATGGGAATTTATGGTTTGTGATGAGAAATGGTGGATTGTAATGAGTATGGGGAATTTATGGTTTGTGATGAGAAATGGTGGTTTGTAAGTCCTGGAATGAGTATGGTGATTTGTGACATGTTGATGAATATGAGGTTCTGTAAATACTGTGATGATTGTGGTAGATTTGCAGCACATGATAAGTAATAATGGTTTGTAAATGCTGGAATGAGTGTGGTAGTTTGTCTTATCTGATGAGTATCAGGTTTGTAAAGTCTGTCATTATGATGGGAATTTATGATATATGATAGTTATGAGATTCTGTGAATGCTGTGGTGATTATGGTAATCTGTGAGATATAACAATCATGTTTTAGAAGAATATGGTGTAGAGATAATCAGAATGATTTTGGAGCATATAATAAAAATCATTAGGACAGAGATATCTCTTAAACCTTAGAGAAATAATGGGAGAAAATGGTTAACATATGCTTAATGAAATAGGTTATCAAAGTATTTATAAAAGTTGAAGGTACGGCAATTTCCTCCCCATTTTCTCTCTCTCTCTCTCTCTCTCTCTCTCTCTCTCTCTCTCTCTCTCTCTCTCTCTCTCTCTCTCTCTCTCTCTCTCTCTCTCTCTCTCTCTCTCTCTCTCTTCTCTCTCTCTCTCTCTCTCTTCTCTCTCTCCTTTCTCTCTCCCACCGACATTTCATTTTCACCAGACTTGCACGCTATTCAAAAAATTGTTGTGGATTAAACACAATAAAATAAAATTTTCTCTGTCTATCTATTTCGATCTATCAACACCTCATCCTCCGCAGGTCTGGTTTCGACCTATGTAAATAAAGAATAAATATCAAAATACCTATTTAAATGCAACGAAACCTCTTTTCATCTATCTATTTCGTTCGATTAATACCTTGTCTTCTACAGAGGGACAGAAGGATGATACTAAAGTGCAAGAAAAACGAAAATTACAAGAAAAAAAAAGAAATTGTTAATCTGAATGGAGAAAGGTAAAGACAGAGAATAGAATGAATAAAGCAGAATAATTATCATTAAAAGTCAATAGAAAGTTGTGGGCTCCTTCAATTCGCTTTAACTGATTTGCATACCTTGGTGTGAATATACATACACACTCACAAACACTGACATGTACGTTGCAAGTGAAAGATGGCTCAAGATCTATGGGTACTAACCATATATTTCTTTTCTTTCTTTCTATTCGAAGAGAAGAAAAGATAAGGCAGAAAAACCCTTAATAAAAGATAGAAAAAAAAATCAACCAAGGAAATAAATGACTTTCATTTGCTCTCACTAAATTGCAAACACGTTGACGAATGACTAGAGAATTGTGTATTAATTTCTGAGGGACGATTGAGGGGGTCCAGGCGGCACAGGGACTTATAGCCTGCCAGTTGTAATTCCCTTTGACCTGTTCGTCCTGTCACTGTGGGCTGAATGATGTGGTATAATTAAAGGCAAAGCTTACCATACAGATACATGTACACAGATATATAAGCACATACACAGTTACGCATATATACATGAAGTTGTATAAAATACGGAAAATTTAGTCGCTGTCAGATTTTACTTTTTTCATTAAAAAGGGAAAACGATTATTCGAAGACAACAACATCAAATACAAGTCAGTTAAAAAAAAGCAAAGTAGAGCGCCTTGGAAACTAAATTTTAACACAACAATTTCGCAAAGGACTTAATAGTGTTTGATCATGTATGCATGGAAAGATTCATTGCATGTTCGTACTGTGAGTAATGATGATTTATGATTACATTTGTCATTGTATTTCATAATGTATATTTCATAATGTATATAACGGTATTTTGTACGTTATTCAGAATCATTTCCCTTATACTTTGCTTGAGTGTAGAGAATTAATTTCTTAAGTTCCTGAATTTTATTTTAGTAAATATTTTTAGATATCGAAAAAATGTTATGTTAGAGGTTGTAGACCGCTGTAGGGTAGTATGTTAGTGGAAAGGGTAAAGAAGAAATAGAAAACGGAGTGCGATTGCCGTTCAGGACCGACAGAGCCAATCTTTCATCCCTTCAGCACGGCTCTCACACTTTAGGATAGATGAAGGGGATGAAAAGAGAGAAAGGAAAGGGAAGGAGAAGAAAAGGCCGTGCAAAATTAAGGGAGTGAGGAACGGAGGTCCAACGCATGCAGATATCAAAAAATGTTGAAACGATGTATATATTCATACATAAATCTTTGTATTTGTCTTCAAGGCTATCCGTCTCATTCTGTGAATATCCACTACATATATACAGATGTGTATGATAATGTTAATCTACATTTATCTATCTATCTATCTGTTTTTTTTTTTCAGTTCCTTGAATCAATCTGTTTAGTTTGAGTGTAGAAAAACATAGCGCTGTAAGTTATTAAATTTCATTATGGCAAATATTGTAGATATCGATAAAAGTTAAAGCGACTCTTGTAATGATAGATAGATAGATTTAGATAATAGAGAAAAAAATCTTTCACTATTCCTCGTTTCACGACAGTCTCTCTCTCTCTCTCTCTCTCTCTCTCTCTCTCACTCTCTCTCTCTCTCTTCTTCTCTCTCCTCTCTCTCTTCTCTCTTCTTCTCTCTCTCTCTCTCTCTCTTCTCTCTTTTCTTCTCTTCTCCTCTGCTCTCCCTCTCCTCCTCTCTCTCTCTCTCTCTTCTCTCTCCTCTCTCTCTCTCTTCTCTCTCTCTCTTCTCTTCTCTCTCCTCTCTCTCTTCTCTCTCTCTTCCTCCTCTCCTCTGTCTTTCTCTATCTACTATCTATCTATCTGTCTCTCTCTCTCTCTCTCTCTCTCTCTCTAATATATCATCTCTCTTCTCTATTAATGAAAAAATTAAATCAATTTAGCCCTTAACTAACCTTGTGACCCTCACGCATGCGCAAAACCCAATCCCCCCCTCACCCCTCACCCCTAACCCCTCCCCGCCCTACCCACCCACACCCTACCTCTCTCCATCCTCACCGCAAAGTCACATTCGCTCCCGACACTCTACACAGGACACATACTCCGCAAACGCCCTTCTAGAACCATGGCTGATATGATGACCGCGCGGTGTATACTCAGGGCAGTCTCTTCGCGCGTGTGGGTTGTCCTTGTGTTGGGATACCTGGCGACGTTCAGTGCGGTTAAGGTCGAAGCTGGCGAGGTTTCGTCCCGAGTGTACCGGCAGGTAAGGTGTGACGAAATACGAGGAAAGAAGTGAGAGGTAAGAAATTCAGGAAGGTTATCCGAGAGCCACTTATTTTTTTTATTATTGTTGTTGTTATTTTCAGCATTATCGTTTATCAGAACTGGTGGTAGTATTACTAGTGAGACCCGTGATAATTCCTCGAAGAAAGAAGTATTTCTTCCCAACCTCTCTCCCTCTTTTACTCTCCGCTTTCTGCCTTTCGCTTCCTCTCTCCCTTTCTCTCTCCCTCTCCCTTTCCCGCTCTGCCAGCCCCTCTCACTCCTAAATCCTCCTTGAATTCACTCCCCTCTCACTCCAGGCCGTACGTCTCCCCCTTCCTACTCCCTCTTCCTCCTTTCCCCTCCCCTTTCGTTTCCTCATCCTCTGTCCTTCCTCCTCCCCCCTTCCTCATTTCCCCTGCCTTTTCCCTTTCCCTCCCTCTCTTTCCTCTTTCGATCTCCTCCTTTTCCCATCTCCTTTCCGCTCCCCTCTCTTTCCCCCTCTCCTCTTTATTCCCTTCTCTCCTCTCTTTCTCCCTTTCTCCTCTTTGTTCTTTAAGTCCAATTTCGTCTCCCCTTTCCCCTTCCTTTTCCCTTCCTACCTTCTTTCTTTACTTCTCCCTCGGATGGTGCAAATTATAGATATGCATAAACTATGGTAAACAAAATAATAAATGATGTATGGTGATAACAACAAAATAATAAATGATGTATGGTGATAACAACAAAATAATAAATGATGTATGGTGATAAAACAAAATAATAAATGATGTGATAAAATAATAAATGATGTATGGTAACAAAATAATAAATGATGTATGGTGATAACAACAAAATGATGATGATAACGATGATGATATTCGAAGAGTTAGAATAAGGTTTCAATTGATTCGTAAGGCCACAATTATATTTATCAATGGTTTACGGATTTTATTTCTGAAAACCTCTGACATGAATGAAAATGAAAATAAAAATAATTGGGTGTTCTGAGCTATTAAAAAAAACAATCATTGTATTTATTGTATTAATAATACAATGATTTTGAAGTGTGAAAGCGAAGGAAGATGAGGTTATCATGTTTTGTTTTATTTGCATTGTTTTATTTGCAAGAGGGTTGGCTATGTTGAACATCGCCGGTAAAAGAAAAGAAAATATATTGATTTTTACACATCAAAAAAAAAAAAAAAAAAAAAAAAAAAAAAAAAAAAAATATATATATATATATATATATATATATATATATATATATATATATATATATATATATAAGTTGATTTTACACATATCTTTTATTGCGTTCACATCGGAATCAAATATCAGATCGGATTAGGTAAGGCGGTGAAGAATTTAAGTCGATTTCTCGATTACATTTATTTTCGAAAATCGGGAAAACAAGTGAGGCGGATTGATAAGCCAAGGAATAAAATAATTATCGCCTAATTTATGCGTGTGTGTGTGTGTGTGTCAGTATGTCTTCGTTTATGTGTGTGAATGCCTTTGTGTGTGTGTGTTCTGTCTTTGTGTGTGTGCGTCTATCTTTGTGTATGTGTCTCTCTCTTTGTGCGTGTGTGTGTGTGTGTCTGTCTTTGTGTGTGTGTGTGTCTGTCTGTGTGTGTGTGTTTGTGTGTGTGTCTGTCTATCTTTAAGTGTGTGTGTGTGTGTCTATCTTTGTGTGTGTGTGTGTGTCTATCTTTGTGTGTGTGTGTGTTTGTGCATGTGTGTGTGTGTCCTGTGTGTATGTGCGTGTTTGTGTGTTTGCTTTGTCAAGTATCACCCAATTTTACACTAAAATGAAGTGACTTCAACTCCGCAGTCACGTGGAATGTCATGTCAGGTGGAATGTGGAGCCGTAGCGTGCAAACGAAGGAAGGAATATACCGGTAGATATAGATTATCATCATTTTTTTATGATTATTATCACTTATCATTATCATTATTACTATCATTATAAGCATTGTTGTTATTATTGTTGTCTGTCATTATCACCATTATTATTATTATTATCATTATTAGCATTATTTTTTATTATTATCCTTATCCTTATTATTATCAGCATTATTGTTATCATTATTACTGTTCATTATCATTATTATCATTATCAATCTAGCTATTATTACTATCATTATTTTCAATTTCATTATTGATACTATTGCTGTTATTATTATTATTATCATTATTATAATTGCCATCACCACTTCTGTTATCATCATTATAATTTTCATTATCATTATATAACTATATATTATTATATATATATCATTATTTATCATCATACATATCACTATATTAATTATGAATTATCGTAATCATAACTATGATTGTGATTTTAATTGCAATTATTAATATCGTTACGTCTTTTTTGTTTTTGTTCTCTCCTTTTCTTTCTTATCCTCCCATTTTCATTCTTCCCGCATTCTCTTATTCCCACATCCACTTTTATTTATTTCCATCCAATCACATTCTCTTTGCCCCCCCCCCCACTGGTGTCTCTACTTCTTCCCATTTTCTATATCTTTCCCACATTAACTCCCTTTCCCCCCAACAGATGTCTCTGCCGTCATTCTCGTCCGAGTGCGTGTTGGAGGAGGTCGTGTTTTCGCCGGCGCTCTCTCGCTTCTCCTGCGGCGCTCGGTGCTTGCAAAAAGTGACTTGTTCTGCTTATTGCGTGAAAGGTAGCGTCGCTTAAAATTGGGAAGATGGGAAAAAATGGGGAAAGTTAGGTTTTTGTCATTTTTTTGTGCAAAGTGGAAGTGTATGCTAGGTAAGGTGGTAATACTCTGAGAAGAATTACTCATTCATAGATCTGTAGTAACGTATTGCAGAAATGTGTGTAAGGTAACAACCATTCAGAGTTTACGCACATGCATACAGACATGCGTACATAAATACACACACACACACACACACACACACACACACACACACACACACACACACACACACACACACACACACACACACACACACACACACACACACACACACACATTCACACACACATTCACACCACACACACACACACACACACACACACACCACACACACACACACACACACACACACACACACACACACACACACTTCTCAATCCCCTAAACCACCCCGTCCTTCGTCAGGAGAGAAATGCCGCCTCCTGACCCTCGCCGTGGCCCCAGGAGGTCCTGTCTCGCCCCAGGGAGGTTCGTCTGA